TATATGCGCTATGCACTTACATGTATATGTAGTTATAATTTTTATTATTTTTTTTAACCCTCACCTGAGGATATTTTTTCCCATTGCTTGTCAGAGAGAGTGGAAGGGGGAGGGAGAGACGCTGCTGTGAGAGACACATCAAGTGGTCGCCTCCTGCACGCACCCGGACAGGGGCCGAGCCTGCAGCTGAGGTCCCTGCCCTCGGCCGAAATTGAACCCAGGACCCTTCCGTCTTTGGGCCTGGGCTCTAACCACCGAGCCAAACCGGCCAGGGCTAAAGTTACCATTTTTAAAAGGCTCACTGATGAGTCCACACAGGTCCTCAGGACGCTGGGTGACACACAGCCGCCCCTGCAGGGCATCAAGCCTCCGCGGGAAGGAGAGAAGAGCCACACAGCCTGGAACCCGCGCCTAAGATGGGAAAGAGAGAAAGAAACTGCCTGGGCCAGAGCTTCAGAGGCCCCATCAGGGGGACTAATTAGATCGGGTGACTTTATTTCGCTCCTTCAGAGCTGAGAGATGATGAAATCCCACTTTAATCAACCTCGAGTCCCGCCGGCCTCGGCAAGAACTTTCCAGCCAGGAGGCCGCCCGTCTTGCCATTTGTCCCTCCGGCCTCCTCTCTGATGACAACAAGCACCAAATGTGGCTGCGGCCGGAACCCTCGCCCAAGCCGTGTCTCCAACCTGTGCCCCAAGTTCCCTCCTCCTGATGACGTGACGACTCAGAGGCAACGCGGAGAAGGAACGAAACGAAAGTGACCGGAGGCCAGAAGGTGAAGGGCAAAACCAAAATATTAATTACGTGCAAATGAGAAGTCCCCCAAAAGGACAGAAGCAATGACCTCAGGACTAGTCTATGGGGTAAGCAGGTGTCCAGTCCTGTTAATAAAAATTACAATAAGCTATAAGAAAGCTAAATAATCATCATGATGATGATTATAGGGGTTTTTTCCATTGTTTAATTTGTTGCAACTTTTTATAGTTCTGGTTTCTCATTTATGTTTATAATATACACTTTTATTATAAAATAATTTTTACCAAAAAACACACACATTAAGCAAATAATCTGGTCTGAACCCGGCACCTGCCTGCTCCACACGAGCAGCGTCACATGTAACCTGTGACTTTGCCTCGTCGCTGGGCTCTGGATGCGCTCAGTTACCTCCAGCAGCTGCGAGCCCCTGGTCATTCCAGGAGGGTTTCTCCTCCTGCTTTGTATTTGACTCAAAGATTATTTCCTCCGGGTTCCTTTGAAAATTATCGCGGCAGATCCGTGGGCCCTGAAGGATCTGCCCTTACAGGAAACGGGGAGGAGCCGGGACACAGAAGAGAAGATTTTTGTTCCTTGATCTATAGACAGAACTGCCACCCGGAACGTAAATACTTGAACTTAGTCTGCAGATAAAACCGGCTCATTGTGATAAGTGGATCCCAGCAGCAGGAAGATTTAAAAATCAAAAAAGACTTTTTTCCCCCCAATGAGGAAAAATGTAGAAAAGCATCTTAAGAAGGCACAAGAGCCTACGTGCCCCTTAACAAGGAACAGGGTGCCCTGGGTAGAGGTGCAGAATCGCCACCTAAAAACGAAAGGTTTTATCCCCAATGACTCTCTCATCATTGATGTTTCTGTCTCTCTCTGAAGTCAATAAAGATATATTTTTTAAAAAATAAAAATTAAAAATAAAAATAACAGGTTTTATTTTGGGGGAAATGTGGGCAATTGAGGCCGTTTTCTTGGGGTTGTCTCCTCACTTTAGTTATTTCCAGTCCTCCCACTTCTCATTTAGAGTCATGGGGACAAAATGAAAAGTCACCGCCCCCAACCCAATGCCGACAGGAGTCCCCAGCCCCCAGTGCAGCGAGAGGAGAGACCTTAACCCAGCACAGAGTTTGCAACCGGAGAGACGCGAACCTGCCAGACGCAGCGGGAAGTGGGCTTTTATAGAGCAAGTGCCTGTCCTGGTCCCTGATTGGTTCATTTTTATGCAAATGAAGGATCCTAATTGACACAGTCTGATTGGCCCAAGTTGCACTGTCCTGATTGGTTGTCACGGAGACTCTCTGATTGGTCAGGAAGGATGCAAATGAGGCTAGAGCTGCGCAGCTCCAATTGGACAGGGCAGGTCTCAGCCTATTGGTTGAAGCAGGATTCCGGGGACCCCTTTATAAGGGGAGCGCAGGGCAGGCGGCCCCCCGGGTAGCGGCTTTCCCGGCAGGAGGGCGCCTGCGGGGCCTCGGTAGGAAAGAGCCGCGGGCTCTGGTCCTGAATTTAAGCGCATTAACCGCAAGGGGTGTATTCAGGGGTCAACAGCAGGGAGGGGCTGATCTTTGCCGAGGTCACCGCCTTGCCAAGCCCCATGCGTGTTGCCCCCTCTGACTCTCGCAGCACCCCTGTGGCTGCCACCTGAGGACGCCCGTCAGGCGGACAAGGGAACGGGGTCAGAGACCGTTCAGATTCAGCAGCTAAACAAGCAGAGCTGAAAGGCCCCCTTGGAGCTGAATGGCATCTGAACAAGGCCAGGGCCGGCGCCCCCCGCCCTCCCCCGCGCACCCCACTGCCAGGCTCGCCTAACAGGCGGGGATGTTTGCCAAGGTGCCTAACAGCAGGAGAAAAATGTTCCCGCGCGTGGCAAGGCCTTTGGTGTGGTGGGAGCGCCTGGAATTCCCTTGTACGCGCAGATCTGAGTTTCGAAACGATGATCCCCGACTGAGCGCCTGGAGCTATTTCATGTCAGGTCTGAAAGCAGCGGCGGGTCTCTCTGGGG